TAATGTTCTGAACCTATATAATATATATGTTTATGTATATTAGTACATTTGCTCTACTTGCTGTATATTGTCTTGGATATTTTAGAGCACTTGGCACTCTGTTACATTTTGTTTTCAGATACTTTAATTCAATCATAGATATACTGTATATTTTAGTATAGTTGTCGAATTATTATGAACTTGTATTACATGGTCCGTTATGCAATAACAATAGACAATACAATGTCAGTACAATAACATTATGTATTTGACTCTCCCATCGTCAGTACCCAATGTTGAATCCAAAAAGAGGTGGATTGGTGTCAGATTGACAGCAATTATAAGAATTATATCAAATCATTATGATGAATTCTCAATCTAATAAGAAAAATAAAAGAAAAAGAAGGAAAAATTTGGAATTTAATCTTTACCCATATATACATAGGGATATATATATAGGGACATTGACTGGTTGGTAAGTGTGGTGAACTTAAAAACACATTAAAAAAGAGGAAAATTAACACCATTTGATGATTACAAACCAAATGGAAATAGGGTAGGTGTAGTAGTAGATCAGTGCGTGACAGATAGAGTTTGTAGAAATTAGATACAACAGAGTTAAAATCATAAGGTTCATTAGAAGAATATACACACACAAATAAATAAATAAAAATTGGGAATCCCTAAAAAAAATAATTCAAAGTTTACCAAGTCTAAAAATAAATATATATGAGGTGATTTCAGGGATCACATAGGAGTTAAGCAAGCAGGATCTACAAAAATTCATGGACACTGTTTCAGTGGAAGAAATGAAGATGGTGAATCACTTTTAGAATCCGCAAAGGCAAATGATTCAGCTAAATCATTTACATTATTAAACAAAAGGCAGGAACATTTAATAGCATTTAAGATTGGCACGAATAGACACAAAATGATTATTGCTTATATAGAAGAAGAGAAAAGAACACATGTAAGGAATGTCAGATATCAATTATTATTATTATGCTTGTCAATGAAAGGAAATAAGTACAAAAAAAAAAAAAAAAAAAAAAAAAAAAAAAAAAAAAAAACAATAAAAAGATCAACAAAAAAACATACCAGAACATAAATGAAAACCATGTACACATAACCAATAAGCATATATAACCTTTGTTTTGTGCAGTTCGAAGTTCAATGGGATTAAAAACTAAAGCACATCGTTTATAACCTAGGCCACACCCCTACAAGTGTAAGTAATAGTTAATCCTTAAATGATTCGCCTAATGCATTTCTACATCATGTTTATAGATAGAAAAGCTATTTATATTTGTATTCCTCAATCTATGAGTTTCTCCATAATTGTACCCACCAGAAAGAAAAAGAGATAGAGAGAGTGTCATTTGCTCACATAACATGTTGCAATACCGCATAAGCTTGGGATACGCATATAAAACTAGAAGATTTATAAATAGACATTCCAAATAGGATTGAGTTTTGAAAAAAAAAAATGAAGAAAGTAAGAAATGAACTGTTTCAGGGATATAGAAATAAGAGATGAGAAAGTAGCAAGTTTGCATGCTTTGTTACCTGTAGACTCCCTGCAGAAGGGTAAGGACCCACAATAGAGTGGTGGTTATTGAAAACCAAATGTGGTGAATGTGTTCTCTTTGGAGACAACAGTTCCCTGTTAACAAAATAAAATCCATAAGAGTGTTTCTTCAACGGAAAAATAAATAAATAAAATAAAATATATATATAAATGCACTGTCCATTATTTTATTTCTCTTTTTTTTTTAATCAATTTTCCTTTGTAATGAATTATCAATATATAAAAATAAATAAATATATATATATATATATATATATATATCAGGAAACAACCCAATACCCCACCTAGCCGAAGGTACTTCCATGACACATGATGGGAACCAACTGAACTACAATTTAATTTCTTGGACGCCTATAAATCAGCGTAACATTTACAATTGAGCACCACAAATTCAAAGGGCTTCTCAGTTTCTTTCTCTATTTCTTTTTCTTATTTATTTATTACACTCTCCTCCTCCTTACTCTTTTTTGGATCAGCGATCTTATGAGGCCCAAAAACACTTTAGCTCTGACACTTGCAACCCTTCTCTTAAAGCGTTAAAAACAAGTTTTTCAGGGTTTCTGCAGCTTGCATATAGTTAAAAACAAAAATCACATTCTTGGGTTCTCGAACCCCATTAACGACTACAATGAAAATTAAAGATTCAAAAGAGAGATCAAATGCATATGCATATGAATTTGAAGATAATAAACATAAAATACATACATATATACATACATATATATATATATATAAAAGAAATACTCTGTGTGTGTGTTTGTGGGTTTCAAAAGAGAGCAACGTGTCACGGGCCTAGAGATTCGGCGCAGCGGCACGGCCCGTGCGGCACCAAGGCGTTGCTTCAGCTCGCGCAAGCGCCCTGGTCAGCCACCACGACCTGCCCTCCCAAGGATACATGCTGACTGGTTTCGGCCTGCCATGGCCTCGTCAGGGGAACGGCTCCAGCTCCTGACCAGTTTGTGCAGGGATGGCTAACTCCCTTCTTGATAGTCAAGTCCAAGACTAGCGACAAGCACCTCGAACTGAACCGAGTCGACCTGCCTGAACTCTGAAGAGGTACCATCCTGTGGTCCTGCACGCCCCTTCCCTGGAACCATTCCCAGTCAATGAATGTTCTTAGCCAACCAGCATGCGTATCTTCTATGCTCATGGCGTCGTTAGGAATCGGATCGTGACATTCTCCCCCACCCAAATCCTGCGACGCCCTCGTCGCAGTGCGGCGCTGACTCCGCTGCGTCCAACATTCCAAAGCCTGTCTCCTCCAAGTGGTATGCTCGCCTGCCCACCATCGCTTCCTTGTACAACCCTTGGCTGCACTCGCCCAATGATAGGGTTTCGGGCTAAAGGGACGCCCACTTCTTCGGGACGCAACCCCACGTTATGCCGCCTCCGCGACACCCCGAGCAAACAAGCGCCCTCCGGCTGACTTGATACCCGCCCTTCACAACGGTTTGCACGCCTCTTGAACTTGCAAGAACTTTGGTGCGCGCGGCCCTCCGGCCATCCGATGCGCGCGGCCCTCCGGCTTAAAGGACGCGTCTTCATGGGGAGATGGAGGCTCTCCTCCAACAGCATTGATTACCCACCGACGCTTTTTCAGTGCACCGTCTTCATTCTCAAGACCCCCGGATCGACAAGAGGGCACACCTCTGTGCTTTTCCCCAAGTCCTGCTCTGATACCATTTGTCACGGGCCTAGAGATTCGGCGCAGCGGCACGGCCCGTGCGGCACCAAGGCGTTGCTTCAGCTCGCGCAGGCGCCCTGGTCAGCCACCACGACCTGCCCTCCCAAGGATACATGCTGACTGGTTTCGGCCTGCCATGGCCTCGTCAGGGGAACGGCTCCAGCTCCCGACCAGTTTGTGCAGGGATGGCCAACTCCCTTCTTCATAGTCAAGTCCAAAACTAGCGACAAGCACCTCGAACTGAACCGAGTCGACCTGCCTGAACTCTGAAGAGGTACCATCCTGTGGTCCTGCACGCCCCTTCCCTGGAACCATTCCCAGTCAATGAATGTTCTTAGCCAACCAGCATGCGTATCTTCTATGCTCATGGCGTCGTTAGGAATCGGATCGTGACAAACGGCTATATTTTTCAATCTGTATGTGCATGTGATAGAGAGAGAAAGCGACGGATGTTGGTTCTTCTGATCGAGTCTAATTAAGGATGTTGGTTTCACAAATTGCTCGTTACGGGACTCGACCCCTCAACTCTTAATCATGGTCAGATCAAATGGACTCAAAACGCTAATGGGCATGAAAGGTGTTCGGTGGGGTGACTCAAAAAATTGGGGCACCAAAGGTACAGGTAACCAAATGTTAAAGGCATTTAAAGCTTTTTATCATCTTTCATATGAACATATGGCCCATTTTGGGGTAAAAAAAAAAAAAACCTTTTTTTTTCCCAAGGTATATGGATAAATACATTTTGGGGGTTGTTTTTATATTTGTATCTTTAAATCTTATTGGCTCGTTGATAGTGTATAACCCCTTATACGTTTTAATAAGTTCATAACATTTAATTTTAGAGTAAGTTTTGGGCAACAACTTTAATGTCCGGCATCAGTTTAATGTGTGTATATATAAGGACATTATCGAAAGAGATATGAGTGTTTTTAAAATGTTATATCTTAACAGTAATTTCAAGTTATTCTTTATACATTTTTCATACTTAAGGGAATTATATATACAACATAAGTCCTTCTTTGCTCATTTTTTTCAAACTTAACCGACTTGTATACACAATACAAAGGATAAGGGCATTATTTGTCCAAAATGTAAATATTAGGAGTGTTTTTAACACTTTACCCAATCATTTTTCTTGTGCAAATTAATTTTTTCTTTATTTACATTTTGGGGTTGTTTTTATATTTATATCTTTAAATCTTATTGGCTAGCAGATAGTGGATTATTATTATTATTATTTTTTGGACATATTTCTAATCTCAATTAAAATCATTATCAATTCCAAATCGTGTTCTCTTATATTTTTTAGATGCTTTGATCCATTACTTGTGTATGGCAATGCATTATTGTGGTTTTGATAACTTTATAGGGTTAGTATTCTGCATGCTTGTTGGTTTAATGACATGACTTCACATTGCTGGCTAATAAAGATAACACATTGCTTCATATTTATGGTTTGTTTCTGTACATGTAAATATAGATTATGTGTGTATTTACTCTTCCATCAACCTAAAAAATACTTACATATATATATATATACACACACACATACAATCGTATCTCCTCTACCTCCCAAAATAAATGGTGAGAATTCCCAAAATAAATGGTGAGAATTCGAATATCCAAAAAGCAAAATTGGATTGGTGTAATGTATATGAGTTTCTTGCCAATAACAAATACTTTGTCAAATTAATTTTTTTAATTGGATTATAATTGTCTTTTCAAACAAAAAGTATTGAATAAAATGTCTCCACAGCAATTTGAATGACATATTTATAATATAAAACAAAAGAGCACTTATCAAATGTGTGATCCTCTCTCTCCGACAAAGTCTATGATAAGACCCTAACTCTTCTCAAATTGGTAATGATCCAATGGCTACAATAATGTCAAAAGACAATTAGCTACAGTGGTCCCAACTATTCACTCTCTTTTCGACATCTTTCTCTAACAAATGTTGTAGGAGGGCTTGGATTCCCAACTTTCACAATATATTGTGTCTTTGCAAAGTTCCAAAACTACTCAAAATTTTGAAATGCACCAAGTGAAAAGTACACGCATCAGCAGATCCTCTTATAGAATAAAAGACCGCGATTATCAAGCTACAAAACTGTAACCATGTTATGATTGGAACCATCTCCTAATCTGTTTAGTACCTTGCTTCTCGTCATTAGTTTTATCAGAACTTCGCTGTGAAAACTTCGATCTATATTGTTCGATCAGCACATCAAGTTTATCCGCATCATCTCGCCCCAAAGGGTCTTTATTCTTTTTAGTCTTATTTCTTTTCTTTGAGCTTGTATCTTCTTTCTGTCCTCCTGTTCGATTTTCCATCTTCCTCTTTCTCAATCGCACGTCTTCTTGCTCCATATATTTGGATTGGACATTAATTGGGGTGCTTTCACCTTTCAGTGATTTTCTACCATCAGGTTTTCTTCCTTCTTGACGATTTTTTAGCTTCTGTTTTGAGCCTTCGAACTTCTCCTTTAGTGGAGACAATTTCTCGCTTCCGCCAGTTGAGTTACTCCTCTGCTTCTTGGTAGCCCTGCCTTCTCCAGTAGCAGCTCCTTCAAATACCCTACTTCCTGATTCATCTTCCCTTTTAGTTTCTGAAGTTCTCGGTGATACAATGTCACCGTTTGATTGACGCTTTCTTGAATTCTTGATTGGGTGCTCTTCAGGGATATGCGAGTCATTATTCTGCTGCTCATTTTCTGCACCTTTGCCAGAACCTTGTTGCTGATTTTGGAGCTTATCTTTACGGAGCTTCAACCTTTGGACATTATCAACAGCAAACTCGACAATGGGGCGATGCTCAGGACCAAAAGTTTCTGTCAAATAGAAGAAGATTTCAATAAATTAGAAACCTTATAGAAAAATAAGGTCCAAAATGCGTACACATCTGCCCAACTATATAAATGCATTAAACATTTTTCTGTTCTGAACAGCCAAACTAAAAGTACGATAGCTAATTATTTGCTGTACCAAAATTCTACCAATAACCAGAATGACAGGAGTGCATGGAGTTGAACTTGCTAAAGAGATGCATTACCAGGGTTATTGTTGAGAACTCTCAGAGCTACAAGTGCATGTTGATGCTCTGTAAACTCAACAAAAGCAACTCCGCGTGAATAGTTATTTGTGACGATCTTTCCTTTCTTTGAATCCTTCAAAAACTTTATCTGCAAGAGCAGCATTGAAGTTAGGGGAAGTACACTATTACCACAGAGGAAGTTATAAGCAGATGGTAATGACTACTTGTTACTGACAGTGACAACCAACCTGCCGAATTACAGGTTTTTGCTTGGTAGCTCGAGAGGTAACGGCATCTATTAAAAGCTTTTTAAGTTGTTTTTCAGTCATTGACTTCGGTATATTGTATATAATGAGTCTAATCCTTGAAATGTGGAAATTTGGAGATTGAAACTTAGTCGTCTTTTTCTTTTCCAGCCTGCAAAGCATCTCAATGGCATTAGGGACCCATGCAAAGAAAAGTGAAATTTCACGAAAGAAAACAACCACCAACATCTGGAAATGGAAAACCATCATGCGTCATTACAAATCTCTTTGTTTGTACTCTCCAGGGATACTCTCAAGAGGCTTCTTTTTTGTTTTTTGTTCTCTTTTCAAAAAATTTATATTCTATGGTTGCAATTGTGAAATTCTAGTAGTCCATAAAACTCTACCCAGAATAAAAACGGAGACACTTCTAAATAACTTTACGAAGGAGAATCCAATAATAAAAATAAGCATTACAAACATGAACATGAAACTTGCTTAATACATAGAAATTTGATTAACTTATTTAATTTGACGCTCTAAGAGCATGTATGGTTTATAATCTCAATAAATCTGAGGAACATTACCCAAGGCTCTGAAAGGTTTGAGTCGTTACCCAAGGCGCCGAAAGGTTAGAGTATGCGCTATGAGTTAGAGCAGGGGGTGAATAGGTCTTATTCATATTATTTTGAATCTAACTAACATTTTGAATTTCTATTGATCTTTGTTAAATTTCAATTGATCCATTCGAATATATAGATTGAATGCATCTACATAAACATATAAAACAAAAAATAAATAGAGTAAAACAACATATGTTTACGTGGAAGACCATAAACAGGTCTTATTCATATTATTTTGAATCTAACTAACATTTTGAATTTCTATTGATCTTTGTTAAATTTCAATTGATCCTTCGAATATATAGATTGAATGCATCTACATAAACATATAAAACAAAATATAAATAGAGTAAAAACAACATATGTTTACGTGGAAGACCATAAACAGGGAAAAATTAAGTGCCCTAGTCCAACCATGAACAATCCACTATGAGGAAGAGATTTTAGAACCAAGTTATAAGATCCCCACCTAAAATCCCCTAATAATCTCTTAACACATGCACACCAAACTCTCCACTCAAGTCTCCAGTTGTCCGCTTTGTCAACAGATTCACCCCTCATGCACCAAGTCTCCATGGTTTTTTCAATCCTTCTGCTCTGAATAGATTAAATTGTTCTTTGATGATAATTTTGATGATCACCTTGTTTAAAACTCTCGATCACATATAATGGTCAAACTATAAGAAACCCTAGATTGAGAAACAAGGCTCTCTCTACAATATAGATTCTCTATAGAATATGTAGAGACTTGGTTAGAGATCCAGGACTGACTATAATCCCATATTTGATGACCTTATTCAGGTTATTGGTAGGATGAGTTATGGATAGAGGAGAAATTGAGAAATAATATTTTATATAATATATATATAATGAATATTATTATTTTTATTACTGTATCCTTGCCGTGTTCGTGTCCGTGTCTGTGTCCGTGTCCTATTTTCTTGAGATGGCATATCATCGTGTCCATGTCGTATTGTGTCCATGTCCGTGTCGGAGCTTCCTTGCCCACCACTGACAGCAAGGACCAACCTTACTCGCTGATGACTACCACAACCTAATCATCCAACAAGCTCTCTCTCTCTCTATATATATATATAATATAATGTATCCATCTCTCATCTAGTTTTCCCTCTCATATTTCTCATGTCGGTATCATTGAAGGAATCACAAACATCCTGATGGAGATCGGGAATCGACAAAGACTGCATCTACAAGCTAAAGCTTACTGAAATATTGTCATGTCGAGACGAGCTTGAACTCAGTTAGGCTAAGCTCGTCCAAACACAAGGCAAGCCTAGACACCTACTTGGCTATAGTGAGCTGAGCCAGAACATGTTGGAGCTCTGTTCTGCTCGGTTCATCTGCAGCCCTACTCCTCTAGCCCAAACCTGCCATTGAAGACCATTTCAATAGTTTACAGTGGAAAGAGTTAAACACTTCTTATTGATCATTTTCTGCATTCACACTCGAGAGTCCTGTATATGTTCTTGATCCTACATGCAAACTCAGAAGTCGTGTATATGCTTATTTTAGTCAAAAAGGGTCTATAATCATTTTCTGTGTTATGTATGTTCATGGAACCTTCTTTAGATGGAGACTCCATCTAAAGAAGAAGCAACAGTTTCATGGGTCTACAAGGTTGTTTGAACCAAATGGGAGCAATCCATCAAGCTATCAAACTGCGTGGTAAGTAAGAAAGAATTCCTGTTTTGTCCAAACTGATTATATGATTTTATTTTCATTTATTTATCATTTGTTTTCCTTTTTTGTAATCTTTGTAAACCTACCACACAAATCAACTATTTCCATCTTAATAGCAGCCCTAATTTTCCAATTAAACGTCCCTCCATAATTGACCACACCAATTTTCCAATTAGACAACCTACGTTACCCATTTTCCAATTGGACTCTTTGAAAGTTTAGAGGCCCTATTTGGCATGTGTAGTTCTTTTGGGATGCGCTCCCCCTTTGAGCGTTTTTTATACCATTCTACTTATCAAAAAAATCAACATATCAATATCATTAAAGAATTATATAAAAGTAAATTCATCCGCAAGTGTTATAATTTGATTCAATCTCACAGAATGGAAGAACCTAACAGGAGGCAATATTGAAACCTTGATTACAGAGACTCAATGAGCAGAGTGGCATAACCCGTATATGGCATACCCTAACTAATTTTTGTGATTTACAACACTAAAAAGTTATCAAAAAGCTAATGTCTAAGATCGATAAAAAAATCCATTTTGCTATATCAAAAAAAAATTAAATAAATAAACAAAAAACAAAAACAAAAACAAAAAATAAAATAAAAAAAAAACAAGAAGGAGCACTCCCTACCTACTGCTTCAGAAACCCATTTAATTTTAATCATAACCTATGCTACATGCAAACATGTAATAGGCGCATGTATATATATTCAAGTGTCAGATCTAAAATCCCCAAACCTAACGACGTATGATGACATGGTTAAATATTCATAGTAGTTAATATTCTTCTTTTGTTTTCTAGAGTAAAATAATGTTTAATGTAATATACAATGTTCAAAATAGTTATTTGACTCGTTTTGAAACAATACTGTAACAAAAGGAACATAACAAGAGGGTTTTATGTACAATTACAAAATCAACTCGACTTATTGGATATTCTTGACAAATGCACTTCCAGCTTGAGGTGTCTGACACATATCCCATAGTCATGACCAGGTATCATTCCCTCATTGGTCATAAATGAGTACTTCATGCATTTTTAAAGAGTCCATGTAAATAGATCATAGCTAATTATCCTACTTTGGTTCTATCTCCATTTAGAACAAAAAGAGTTTGGTTGCGTTGTGTGCTTGGGATTTTGACAAAACAAATCTTCAAGTAAGGACCCATTGTACAGTCATTCTTAAACCTGTCCTATTTGTACTTGGTATATGCAACAGATAGCATAATATTGCTTCTATATATGAATTTTTCATTCTCATACTGAATTAGATACTTACATTTGGCGCTTCAACATATCACTAGTGGAAACACCTTCAGCAGCCGGAGTCCCCTCAACAATAAGACCTTCCTATTAGAAAAACAGTGTAAAGGTAAACCAAACAAGAAATGGATCGTCTACAACCAAATCAAATTGCAAAAAATAAATAAAGAAAATAAATAATAATAATAATAATAATAATAATTAAATAAAGAAATAAATGAAATTGATAAACTTTACATCATTAGAAACCTTGGTCCAAAAGGGAAGATGGGTTGGGGATTTAATAAACCAACCTTTGCGAGGTAAAGGTTCCTGTGATCATGATCCTCCTTTTTGGTCTTCTCCACTTCCTTATCATGAGCAGATTTCTTGTCCAAAGCCTTCAAGACTTTCAATTGCCTACCTCTTAGGAAGATTCCCAATCCAGCTGCATCATTGGCTGCTGAAAATGCAGCATCAATAGCATCCACTGTTTTAAATTTGAGAAAACCAGTTCCTCTTGGCCGCCTGCCCACATGTACAACAAGGTTGTATGGAAATATAGTAAATCAACAAAAGTATAATCGTATATAAAGCTATAGAATTATCCCATACTTGGTGACTTGATGAAGAACTGGGACGAAGGATTGCACTTCTCCAAAACCAGAAAAACGTTGTTTCACTTCTTCATTATCAATATCAAAAGGAAGGTTTCTTATAAAAATTGTTCTCCGCAAGTCATCTTCTCCTTCTTCCGGTTTTAGATCCGTTGGTTCACTTGTGCCAGAGCTTCCACGCTTTGCTATACCTAATACACTAGCAGACTCATCAGATGTCTTGTTATGTAGATCAATGGCTTTGCCATCCTTGTTTCTCATGGGTAGGGGAGAATTATCACTGAGAGTAGGTTTTCCTTTAGCCGAAGAGGAGATCAAGTTCTTAAGAACTTTTCTTGTGACATCCGCTTCCTCGTCAAAATCTATTTCAGTTGAGATGACTTCTTTCTTAATTGTATCAGTCTCTTCTGGAGGAACCACATCCCCATGAAATTGTTGAGGCTTTCCATCAATGTCAGCATCATGATCCTCCAAATCATCACTATCATCACTACTACTATCACCTTCTCTGTCACGTCCACTCTGTTGTCCTGCATAAATCACAAGTTACCCTCCAGTTAAAATGTGGAGTCATCATCCTCGACTTCCATGGTTATAGAAATTTAGTCCCTATGAATATAATGATCAACAAAAGCGAAGGGCGCAAACAAAAAGTACAGGCAAAAAGCAACCCAAAGAGAAGTTACACTAGCCACACTGAATCAGAGAATGAACATCTGCAATATAAAGAGTCAGCTGAAAACATGCATTTACTTCTCTTTGCCCATAATTATTTCACACTAATAGATGGTTTGAGACTTTGGAGATCTAAGCCGCCTGGACATAGACATAAGGCACGGATAGAACATTATACAACACAGGAAAATCTTAAAAAATAGTATACAGGCACAGTGCACAACAAGGACAAAACAATGAACTATATCTATTTTTTTATATCTGTAGTTATATAGTACGCAACAAATATTATCTGATAATAGGTAAATTTAATATTCTTTGACTCTAACAAGAATTTGTAACTTATAAATCACATTGCTTTTAACAACCCTTGTCACTGAGAAAAATGAATGATAAAGATATGACTATGTATGCCAGTGTGTATGTAGATAGGTATACATGCATATACACATAATTGGATTACATCTCCCTTACTTCCACACTCACTCCTACAATAGAACCCTTCTAAACCTTTTGTTCAAGATTCATTAACCAAATATTAGCACGTCCAAAAAGTACAGGCCATGAGTTTAAGATTAAAAGTGTTATTTTAAAATTATGGACAGCTCCAAGATGTGTCAGACGTCTTTGGGAGTGTCTTTTTTTTATATATATAAATAAAATGTATTAGAAAGCGTTCAAAAGGGGAACGCATCCCAAGAGATATACAAGAAACCAAACAAAAAGCCCTATGGACCCAACGAACCCAAAAAGTCTACAATCTCATCTAAAGATATACAATTTCTCCCCTTTATTCTATAAAAATTCATAATTGTGAAGGAAAATATTGGACAGCTCAAACTAATTGTGAAGGAAAATAATGGAAAAATATTTTCCAATAAAAAATTTGGTTCAAACTTCCAATAATGGAAAAATATTTTCTATTAGTTTTGATAATAGGTAAATTTAAATAATTTTTCCAATAATTGTGAAGGAAAATATTTTCAATTAGTTTGAACAAAAACTATGAAGGAAAATATTGGAACTTTGATAGATTTAGAATTAACATGGAAACAGAAGAGTAGGACCTGATAATATGATGGAAAATTGATAGGAATCAAGTACCAAACTAATCAATTAGGGTTTTTATTTGAGCATTCACATCATGGATACATGATTGGATACATATGAACTGTTTTTAAATTGAAAATTTAGGGTTTTGTTGATCAGGGCATTCCATCAATTAATCAATTGATCATGTCGATCGGTCCTTTCTGTCATAGTTCGACTGATTGACCCAAAAGATAGACCAACCAACATTTCATGAAAGCAGGATCCTATTTGGTGTTTAACTCTAATGCTATGTTTGGTTGGAAGGAAGGATTGAGGATGGATGGAAGAGAGGAAGGATATATAATGCTGGATGGAGTTACGAGATACTGAGCAGGAGAAAGCATAAATAGTCTACACAAGAAGAGCAGATAAGATTTGAAAGAGACCAGACTAACCTTAAAGGTTCCAAGCTGATGAATTCAATCTCTTCCATGAAACCTCGGGTACCGGTTTTATAATATTGAAATCTAATGGTCCACAATTAGTCTTAAAATCCTGACATGATGTAAGCCTTTAATAAATAAGTTTAACAGAACACAGGCCGTGTCTAGATAACCTTATTCTAATATTACCTATGGAATATTAAGTGATAAACCCAGATATCCTATGGGTTGTAAATGTTAACAAGCTTGGCATACCGAGCTAGGGTCCATTCAATCTCGGTTCACTTATGAAATGAGCTTAAAAATTATGCTTGAACTCGGCTTATTGACTAGTTCAACGAGCTCATGAATTAGTTGGGCTTGTGTCATCCATGACCAACTCTATTCACTTGCAGCTGTACAAATCAGTACTCATATATATGAGAATCACAACATAACTCAAATTAGAATATTAAATGTACTGGAAGACAAATTTACAATGCAAAGGAAACAATTACCATCTTTCAAAGGAACAACAGTATGAGCACCAGTCGCAAAAATTTTCTTCGGAACAGCCCAATCAACTGCAATTGGTCTTTTACCAAAAATCTTCCCATTGAACTTCTGGATGGCCTGAGAAGGGGAAAACAGAAGATGAAAAGGAAAAAAGAAGTTGCAGAAAGAGTGACCCGACAACACTCAAAAGCTTTCACCACGCTTCATGTAAAGTATAACATTTCATACATTTTCAGCATCTTGCTTGCAAGTGAATTTAACAAATGCAAATCCTTTGGATAACCTGCAAAAAAGAAAATCACATTAACATATAAAAATATCACATTCACTGCTTGAAAAGAATGGTGATGGATTATCAAAATACCCTGTCTCAGTATTTTGTGGAATAAATACATCCCATACAAAGCCTGCTGATGAGAACATATCTTTTATCTCATTAACTTTAGCCTGCATTCAAGTTTAGAAATTAATTTTGAAGTAGAGATTCCCCCAATACATATTTATATATGGATATGGATATATTTAAAAGAAAGAGTTGTGCTAATGATACTGTCAACAGAAACAACCTTGAAAGGAAGATTTCTAACTATGATTTTCCATTTCCGAGTCTTCGATCCCTGGTCAACACATTCAAGCAGAAAGAAAATGTTTTAAAACTCCCCCAAACACACAGATGCGTGTGACACATTTATAAAACCAAATAAAGTAAGCACTCATGGTAGATGTTCAACCGTACAAACAGAATAAGTTCAAAACAACTAGCCTGGTCTGAGTGATGGTTATACAGACTCTTTGAGATCTTTTCTTCTCCCAAGTCCCAATATACTAGTCATGGTACATGTAGATTTACTATTGCTAAAATTATAACCAATTGACATTTAAACAATCTGATATGATTATGAAAAAAAAAAAAAAAAATCTGATATCAAAGAGTATATTATAAGGAAACTATTCAAAACCTGTTTAGCCATAACAAGCAAGGTGAAATGGGAATTCAGCGCTGACGGCCTGACTAAGTTTTTTCACCATGATGTTATAGATGATTCACTGACAGGAATTAGAGTGTCCAGACACTTAGCAGTGATTAGTGATATGCTGTTTGCTGATGATTTCCTAATATTTTATAAATCTCAGAGAGGGAATTCATTCAGTTGAGGAATACTTCAGATAGCTATGAAAGCTTGACCGCTTATCAAAAAATAAAAAAGACAGGAAAGCTTGACTGGTCAAGTTGCTAATGTTGATGAGTCTTCCATCATGTTTAATTGGAATGTGAGTGAATATGAAAAAGGAGAGATTGTGTAGAAAGGAAACATTAGAAATTCCTGGGCCAGCCTCTTAAATTGGTAGAACAAAGAGGCAGCTCTTTAGATTTTTGGAAGAAATGATGGACTCTAGATTTAGAGGAGGGTCTACAGCTGGAAAGAAGGTATTGGTGATTGCAAGCAATCCCTAGTCCATACTTGCACCATGAGTTGTTTCAAGTTCCCACTTGGTGTTCATAAGAAGTAAAGAAGAAATATTATCAGGATCTGGCAATCAGGCTCTAGTTAAGACAGTAAAATGTGTTGGGTTGGATGGGATTCCATTTGTCTAGCAAATCAGCGGGAGGGTTGGGATTTAGACCCAGTTTGGTTGGAAATAAATAGATGGAAAAGAAACGGCAATGGATGGAAACAGTATATTGTGTTTGGTATAAAATTTTTAAAGGAAAAGAAAGCAAATGGAGGGATACAAATTAGGTATGATGAGTACTTTATTTTATTCTCCCAAAACTGGGAGGAAATGGAAGGAAAGGACCGTTTTTGCCTTATTTTTATAAAAGACAAATTCAAAATACCATGAGGGCTTTTTTTTTCTTTTTAAACGTTTCTTTATTTTCAAATGGTCACTTTGGCTTGAATGATGTTCATCACAATCTTTATATTTGTCTTACCTATATATTTGTCTCTTAAATGTGAAAGGGTAAAGTGGTAAATTCATTAAAATGGTTTCTTTTCCTTTCTTTCCCAAACATGATTAAGTGCTAAGACTACCATTTCCTTTCTTTCCCTCATTAATCAGTCAAGCACAATGCCACAATGAGGGGTTAACAGTATCCTTTCCTTTCTTTTCTTTTTTCTCATAACTAATGTTATCCTTCTTTTTCTTTTTCCTCCCGTTATTCCAAACATAGCATTAGAGAGATGGAAGCTTTTAATATGATTTGTTGGCCAAATAAGGGTGGAGAATGTGTGGTGTGGAGACCGGACGTTAGCATGTTCTTTTCCTAGATTGTTTAGGATTGCGGTCGATAGACATGCCTTGGTGGCTGACTGCTATCGTCTTGATAGCGGGAGACCGGTTTGGGATGTGCTGTTTCAGCAATCTTTTCAGGATTGGGAGATGGATGATGTGTTTGGTTTTTTAGAGTTGCTATACAGCCAGGTGATCCGGGGAGGAGGTAGGGATTCTCTAGTTTGGATTCCTTCTACTAGGGGAATGTCTAATGTGAGATCTTGTTTCGGATGCCTAGTGGACTCGGATGGGGTGGTATTCCCGTGGAAGGCTGTGTGGCACACTAAGGAGCCATTGAAAGTGGCCTTTTTTGCTTGGATGGTTGTGTGGGGTAAAATTTTGACGTTGGATAATTTGAGAAGGAGAAAGCTTATCACAGTGAATTGGTGTTGCATGTGTAAGTGCAATGGCGAGTCGGTGGATCATCTTCTCTTGCATTATCCAGTGACGGTTGATTGTTGGAACCTTTTGCTAGGTTTATTTGGAGTTTTTTGGGTCATGCCTAGATCTAAGAGAGTCTTGATGGACACTTGGAGATGGGGTTGGGTGGGAGCACAGGCTCAAGGGTTCTGGAGGATGGTGCCTTTGTGTCTTTGGTGGTGTTTGTGGAGGGAGCGAAATAGAAGATCCTTTGAAGGAGAGGAATCTTCCATCACTGTTCTGAAATCTTCTGTTATTAGCTCTCTTTGTTTTTGGGGCTCGGGTAGACTTTGCTCTTCTGTTGAGGAGACTATTGAGTTTTTGGCTTCCTTGGGGCCTTAGGGTACCCAGGTTTTTTGTGTTTTGTTAGGAATGCATTCCCCGGTTGAACGTTTTTTTAATGAATTTATTATTTATCAAAAAAAAAAATAAGGGTGGATAATGGATGTTGATGATGCTAGTCTTCCGCTTAAAGTGATCAAGAGAATATTTCCCAAAAACCTCATTATTGGAAGGTAAGAGTGAGGGCTGGATCTATTCGAGGCTTGGAAGATCATCTGTTCAAGTGAGGTTGTGAAACTAAAGGTGAGATGGAGGGTCGCCCAGGGAAATTTGATCGACTTCTGGACTGATTCCTAGATTTTAGATGCCATTGATTTCAAGATCACCTCTCATAGTCAAGTGGGTTGTCCTCATAGTCCAGTGGATTGTTGTGATGTGTTCTTGTCCCACATCGGATCCGGATAGGGAGATTCTTTAACTTATAAAGGCAGGTATACAATACCACCTAACAACCTAAGTTTTTGGGTCGGATGGCAAGTGCTCGGCCCGTTACAAGTAGTATCAGAGCAGGTTCAGTCCTTGATCCGGTGTCATGCCAAGCGCCCCCACTAAGATCCTGGTCCTTGTATCGTTGTTACCGGATCCTCTTGCCGCTAGGGTGGGCGGGTAGGCAGGATGGTCAAACAACAATGAGGACGTTGCGAGTTCAGGTAGGAAAAAAATCTAATTGGTCCACATCAGATTCGGGAAGAGAACTTGGGTTTATATGGGTGGGTATGCAATATCATCTAACAGCTTAAGCTTTTGGATTGGATGGCAAGTGCCCAACACAATTGTCCAGTTCAGAAAGTAATTAAACTAGTGGATTCACAGACTAATAAGTGGAATGTCTCTCTTCTCCAATGGCGGAGGAAAATTATCACACTATTCCAAGAATTCCTAATAGTGAGTTTTCCAACAGGGGTAGGAGGCATTCTCATGTAATGTGGATATTCTTGTAAATCAGCTTATAGAGTTGCTCTTCAAGTTATCAAGTATAGAAGGAACATTCAGAATGGTGCAACTGATGTTATGGAAAATTCTTGGGGAAAGTTGTGGAATAATCAAGCTAAAAGGAAATTGTTTCATTTATTATGGAGTTATCGCAACGGCAAATTCAATTTGCTGATAAGCTTGATAAACAAAGGGATTGAGGTGGATGCGGTGTGTAAAAGATGCGGACTTGAACATGAACCTATAGAGCATTTGTTACTGAAATGCATGCGAGCTTTGAAGGTTTGGAAACTGAGTGCAATTCAAATTGATGTTAAGAGTTGTCCTTTAAAATCTTGGGCGCAGTGGTTTAAAACTTTGCTATTGTTATAAGATAAATCAGAAGATAAGAAATTTATAAATAAGTAAGATTGGTCTAGTGGCATATATTTGTTCGAACCATTGGAAGAGCAGAAATTAATTTATGTTTGAGCATAGGTGACTTGAGGAGATCAACATTCTTCCAACTCTATCAAACAGTAGGAAGAATTCAAAGAGGATATTCTGGATGCAAAAACAGCTGGTGATAGGATTGTAAGTTCGGCATCCATCCACTAGGTTCCCCCTACTGCTGGTTGTTACAAATTGAACTTTAATGCTGCATTTAACAGTCAAACCATGGAGGCTGCTGGGAGGGTAGTGCAAAGAGATCACTGTGGTCATATAACTAAAGCAGCGGGCAATGTCTTTTTTTTCAAAATGATTCAACTGCAATTATCACAGAACCCTTGGTGGCAAGACAGGCATTTATTTGGCTACTTAAAGAGGATTTCCATAACAGAAGTAAAAGGGGAAAGTTGTGAAGTTATCCAAACCTCTAACTTCATATGTCGATTGTTGTGATATTGGAGGACCAACAATTTTTACTTCTTCAGCACCATGACCTGAAGTAGAGGTGCACACAGTTTGGTATGGTTCAATACAGAGGTTAAAGCAGAACTAAACCAATTTATAAGGGCTCTAAAAATGTCGGAAACAAACCAAACCTATGGAACTGTCTAAACAGAACAATCTCAAACCGTACAAGACTGGGTTAGATCAGTCGCGACTTCGGCTTACTTAAAAACATAATTTAATAATGATTTAAGTTCGCCTAAATCAAGCCTTATGCCAATCTTTTATGATGTAGATAAAAGTTTTCTCTATTGCCTACTCAATATTGCATTTCTAGTTCAAATATATATGTTATAACAAACTATGCCAACAAAAACTAAAATACTATTATATTAATATGTTTATTATGTTACAAGACTGGGTTAGATCAGTCGCGAATTCGGCTTACTTAAAAAACATAATTCAATAATGATTAAGTTCACTTAAATCAAGCCTTATGCCCATCTTTTATGATGTAGATAAAAAAATTCTTTATTGCCTACTCAATATTGCATTTCTAGTTCAAATATGTACGTTATAACATAGTAGTCCAAGAAAAACTAAAACACTATTTTATTAATATGTTTATGTAAATGGCAGTCAAGGTTTGGAAAATGGATATACATAAACTTAATTAAATGTGATGTAATTATCGACTGATCAAATGAAAACAAATATGCATATACTTTGTAGCAACCCACTCCACCACATGGTATGATATTATCCGCTTTGGGCCTAAGCCCGCACGGTATTGTTCTTGGTTTTTACCCCAAAAGGGCTTTATATCTTTTGGAGATGGAACTAGTACATATAAGCACTTCACCTACACCTGTAGCTCGCCCAGTGTCTCGCCCCCTCCCACATCACACCCGCCCACTTAGGTCGCCACATTCACCCCCACTAAGGGACCCAACATCCCTGTTGGCCACACTTCCGCTGAGCTCCAGCTCTGATACCATATGTAACAACTCACTCTACCACATGGTATGATATTGTCCGCTTTGCGCCTGAGCCAGAACAGTTTTGTTCTTGGGTTTTACCCCAAAGGCCCCATACCATTTGGACACGGAACTAGTACATATAAGCACTTCAACTTCACCTTTCCCAGGCAATGTGGAATTGCGCAACCTGTAACTAGCCCAGTGTGATAGCTCTTCCAGTGTCTCACACCCACCCACATAGGTCACCACAATCACCCACCCCCCCAAGGGGCCCAACGTCCATGTTGGCCACACTTCCTGTTCGGCTCCGGCTTTGATACCATTATAAAACCCAATCCACCACATGGTATGATATTGTCCACTTTGGATCTGAGCCTACACAGTTTTTTTCTTGGGTTTTACCCCAAATACCTCAAATCATTTGGAGATGGAGCTAGTACATATGAGCACTTCATCTTCAACTTTCGCAGGTGATGTGGGATTGTGCAACCTATAGCTCGCCTAGTGTCTCACCCCCGCCCACTTAGGTCAGCACATGCTTTTAATATTACAATTCGCTTTGGATTGGTTCATTTTTTTTAACATTGAAATCGCGAACCTAACCAATCTAATGAGTCCACAACTTCTGGAACCAGAACCAAACCACCACAGAACCCAACTAAACCATTTGGTTTGGATAGGTTTGGATCAAATTGACGATTTCTATAGATATGTGTGCACCACCAACTTTAAGCTGGTTTGGACTAAAGAGAGAAGGAACTTGGTATTTCATGGGTTAGCCAAACTTGCTATCCAAAAAAAGTCAATGTTGTTGTTGATGGTGCCATTCCTTTGTCTACAAAGGAATTGGCTCCTCCCTGATTGTAGTGTTTCGCTTTGTTTTGATGAAATCTTTGCATCTTGCCTAGGAAAAAAATGTCAAAATTCTAAAAGAAGTTGATAAGTTAAGACCTCAAGGTAGGTCTAATTACCAAAATCTTGATGATATTTGTATAACTTCATCCACCACATATGCAATTCTTAGTATAAAAGATAGAAAATTAAGGAGTTCTATATTTGCCTTAAACAACAAATGTAACCAAACAAAATTTATATTTATATATTGACATGTCCACAATATGTCCATATCCTACTTTCTTAAGATTTGATATGTCAATTTCAGTATCATGTCCGGTTTGTGCTACATAGAGGACAAATATTTTTCATAATAAAATTGTCAAAGACACATAGGACAAGACTAAGTAATGAAATTACTTCAACCATTCAAAATTATTATATATCCCACATATCAAAGTCACAGAGTACAACAGTAAGTAATGAAATTCCTTTAGGAACACAGATTTATTATATATCCCACGTAAACTTTACCTCTCCACCAAGCTGGCGCGCCCAAACAAGTCCCCCACTAATCTCTTTTTGGTGTAACATCCCAACACAAGCACGAGCTGATTTGACACTCGTATAAAGTAGAGATGAAACATTCATTTTGCAACCGTCTTGAGCAAGCCCTGATACAATTTCAAATCTATGTCCTAGTTATTATCCCAAAATAAACAAAATTAAATGCACAATAGTATGTAGATGAATGAAATTCCAACCGAAGAACCATCTGCTTAACATTTCTAACAGACCACACTTTTCCAACTAGCATATCACATAGTTCCTTTTTCCTCTTTTATAAGTAAAATTTCATAGAGAACGCCCATAGGGGAGTAAACCCTAGAACAATTACACAAAAGGTATAGCTATAAATCTCTATAATCTCAGACTATCCAAATCTGAGAATAGTTGGTATTAAACTTAATTTAAAATAAAAATAAAAATAAAAAAACGAAACAAAAATGTAAACATTGGGTTTTGATAGATCCCGGGCAGTGGATCAAGGACAGAGGAGGTAAGCACCAAGCCTCTGTGTTGACAGCCTATAACAGCTGCTTTTAGAACCATAAAGGCCAACAAAACATGAAAGTGAATCCATATGGAAGCCAACATATCCAGTTTTCCAGACATTTGGAGTTGTGTTAATTGGCAAATACAAATTTATGTTCGACTCTTTGACACGGTAAAAGATAAGAAATTAACCTCTTCTTTCTTATATATCTTTTCCAATTTTGACAATGTGTCTTCTTCGTGATTATAGTGAACAAAGTCACTGTAAGAGACAGCAATCCTGAATTGTAGCATGAAGAAGAGTGGAGACCAGAAGATAATCAGAAGAGGTATAGCTACAGTCTAACTTCGCCAATATGCTATACTGGAATAATAAAACTTCCTGGCTCATTGAGTGACAAGCCACAGAAAATTTAGACATAACTAACCAAAAGGGGCAAAATTGAAGTGTGTTGACTAAGAAAAAAATAATAATACTTCATTTGAGGAATAAATTTAGGCGGAGCACTCTAAACTTAAAACTACAAAAAGTACAGATATATTAAGTGTATTTTACCTAGACTATATTTGACAACAATTGTGCTACCATACCCTAGCATCCAGCTGTACTAAATTTAACAGAGATTTGACCCCCTTGTCCATCCTTAATTTATATCATGGAGAATTGTCCACTCAGGAGATAGGAAGATATATGGTAGAAGCAATATTTGTCCAAGGGGAGTAGGTTGACTGTTTTGAAGAGTACCATCTCGAATCTTCGAACATACTTCATGTCTTTATTTCATATGCCCTCTTCGGTAGTGAAGAGGATTGAGAAGCTGCAACTGAACTTCTTATGGCGAGGTACGGGTGAGGAATTTTTAGTTCCATCTTGTGAGTTCGGACCAGGTGTGTTGGCCTATTTAGCTCAGTGGCTTGGGTGTTAGGAGGTTGGATGCCTTCAACAGTGTTTGTTAGGCAAGTGGCTTTGGAGATATGGTGTAAAAGGGCATAGTTTGTGGAGGCCTATTTACACCCTAGAGGTGAGGGGTCCAGCTGGAGTGGGGGTTTGGAAACTCGTCCCGAAAGGCTGGCATGAATTTTCCAAGCATATTCAGTTCAGGCAGAGGAATGGGAGGTCGATTCGATTTTGGTTGGATATCTGGTGTGGGGCTAGAATGATAGATAGTTGGCGTGTGCATTTCCGATGTTGTTCAGGATCGCTGCTGATTCCCAGATGTTGGTTTCAAATTGTTATATGCTTGATAGCGGGAGGTTGTCTTGGAACGCGTGCTTCTCCAAACATTTCCATGATTGGGAGTTGGATGATGTTGGTGATCTTCTGGCTTTGCTATGTCGTCAGTTTGTGGTTGTGGAGGAGATGAATGAGTGGACTTGGTCAATTTCCAAGCATGGAAGATTCGACATGCGGACCTTCTTTCAACGGATGATAGGGAGCCTGGTCAATCCTTTCCTCGGAAGGAGGTCTGGCGCACTAGAACTCCTCCTAGGGTGGCTTTCTTTTGGTGGACGGCAGCTTTTGGGAAGATTTTGACGAAGGCGGCAAGTCGTGGTTAATTGGTGCATGTGCAAGAGAGGTGAGGAGTCCGTCAATCATCCTTTTACACTATCCAATAGCCCAGAGATGTATGGAGCAAGATTCATTCCATTTTGGTGGTTAGTGGGTTATGCCAAGACCACTAAGAATGCTCTTGAAGTTTGGCAGATATTCTCAATGCGGACTAACATTCGGGAGGCATGGAGAGAAGCTCCTCTTCGCCTTTGGTGGTGTCTTTGAAGTGAGAGAAATAGGAGATGCTTCCATGGGAAGGAAGATCCTCTTTGGGCGCTTAAATTCAATATGCTTATTTCTTTCACATGCTACTACACCGAAGCGAAGTCGTCAAGGAAGAGTCGCCTTAGGTCCTCAATCCTTTGCGCAACGCCCGTATGTGGACAAATTTTTTTTTTTTTTTTTTATAAGTAAAAAAAAAAATCAATAAAAGCGTTCAAAAGGGGAACACATCCCTCAAAAACAACACAGGGCCAAATAGGGCCTCTAAACCCTCAACAAATTCAAAAACTCTACAAGCTCATCCAAGGATTTACAATTTCTTCCTAGAACCCAACAAAAAAGGGTGCTAAGGATGGAGAATTTCAACGACCCAACATGATTTTCCTTTCCTTCAAAAGATCTCCTACTTCTTTCAAGCCATAGCCACCACCAGATACACAAAGGAGTAACCCTCCAAGAGTCACGAGCTTGGGCCCCCACTATGCATCCTCTCCAGGCCGCAATCAAGCCTCCGTGGCATAACCCAATGAATCCCAAACAAACCCAAAAACAAAAGCCAATAATCTCGGGCCACTGAACAGTGTTTAATAAGATGATCAACATTTTCCTCGCCATTTTTGCACATAAAACACCAATTCACCACGATCTGTCTTATTCTCTAAAGGTTGTCCTGACTCAAGATCTTTCCCAATACGAATGTCCATGCAAAAAAATGCTACTTTGAGAGGCGCTTTTATTCGCCAAATGGCTGCCCTCCATGGAAAAGGCAGTCCAGGAGCATCCGCAAAACTACGTTAAAATGACCGAACATCAAAACGCCCAAGTGAAGATGGAGCTCAAACGCATATGTCAAGTCTCCTCAACCATATGTCGTATGTGGACAAATGGAAGGCTATTTTTTGGATATATGGGAATACTTGTAAATCAATGGGAGAGTTAGTAGATTGTGTGGATAGTTTGAAGGTATGGTTTTTTTTGTTTTTTTTTTTTGGCCTAGTGCAGTTGTTTCAGGATGCGCTCCCCTTTTTGAGCGCCTTTCCATGAATATTACTGATTAAAAAAATAAAATGAAAAAGGAGAAAGGAAGATATGTGGTTACAAGGAGAATGAAGCATAAGAGTACATAATAATTTAACTTCATGCCCATAATGAAGTTCTAAAAAAAAGGAAGATATACTAAAATCCTTAAAGCAAAGTGAATGTTGAGGCCAAGTCATGGAAGTAAACATGTTGTATTGAAAAGCAACCTATATGGCTACACATACAAAAAAATAAAAATAAAAAATAAAATAAAATAAAATAAAATAAATAAAGAGGTCATTATGTTAGAATCAAGTGGAGATGGAAGTACAATTACTAAGTTATGCAATTATACACTCAAGAGATAGTTATGACTCATGCATGAAAATCTCACATGAGTCATGTAAAATAGATGCAAGCAATCAGTTCAATATATGTGAACTACTATATTATAATTGAGTCATTTATTGTGTTTTTTGTCAAATATACAAGCATTCTAAGAAAGCAAGCAGAGAATACTCAATTGAATACGTTAAGAAAATCATAAATAGTAGGAAGAAAAATTTTATCTTCGGAAGGTAAAAAAAAAAGAATTATTCTTACCATGGTGTTCAAAATCTTCTTTTGGAAGAGGGTAAGTTACAGAAATGACAGTCCCACATTCTCTAGCATGACGATGAACATTCTCCGCCATATCAGCATTAAGAAGCCCACCAAATATGACTGTCCTAGCAACCCTTTTTAACATGAATAGGAAACATAAAGTTTAATCAATAATTGTTAACTCTGGAAAATGTAACAGCTTCTAGGACTAGAAGTCAAGACCTAGAAACATAGATTAACAAATCCACTTATTACCATCCATAAGAATTTCGAGAAAAGAAAAACTTAAAGAGGAGAAAGTTATTGAAAATTGGTTCATCTCAAGGCAAAACCTACTTAATGCCTCTCAAATTGTGTTTTTTTTTTTAACTTTACGTGATGTTTATAGATGATTTATCTAGATTTAGGATAATTTTTTTTTTTTTTTTTGACAAGTTATCTAGATTTAGGATCATGGCCATTTTTTAGCTTAAAATTTTCTAATACTGGCTGCAGTAGTGGCCCAAGGTAAAATTTATTTGGTCATAAGTATGTTCTATAGTTGGTTTACATGAATTTGAATAGACAAAATCATAAATTTTATTTTTTGGAGTGATCTAAATCCTAATTCATGTAGGAAACCTCCAGAAGCCTTATACACACATAGTTCTTCAAATTCAATTGATTAAATAGAAAGAAAATTTTGTCAGAGCTCTTAAAGTCTTCAGCAATTGTGTGATGGAACCCTAAATTGTATGAAACCTAGCTTCTTTAAGGTTGAATCATTCTCCAACCTAAGAGAATGAAATAATTAATAAGAACCTGAAGGAAACAAAACTTAACAACATGAACAATTTTGCACAATAGTCAACTTTAAGGCGGAATCCATATGGGAACTCTTGAAACTAATTTCTAGTTTGATTCAGATCTTACACTGTATCTTCTTTAAGTTCAATACTGCTGGTTCCTTTTTTCTTTTTTTGATAATCAGGGTGTCCGGGGCTTTGCCCCAACATACTGCTGGTTCATTTTTCTAGCTCATCTATGTAGGTTTTTTTTTTTTTTTTTTCATTATTTCAAATTTTTAGGTCATATAATGCTATTGGGTCATACTATATTGTCTTTAATTGGTTTAGATCAAAATCTTAAGTTTCTATTTATACAGTTATAAAGTCACAGTCCTAATTGATTCAATATATCTCCAGTAGCGAACATCTTCATGTGTCTTTCTTCAAATTCAAAAGAGATCAATTTTGAAATATATCAGAGCTTTTGAAGCATTTTTATTGTGTTATGCAACCAAACCATAGTTGTGATGCTTAAAGGAATCTAGGAGTGGTTTTTTAAATTCTTCTTTTCTTTTGTTGTCTGCAGTTCTATGCTTCCAATTAGATTATCTTAGCTACTTCTTTCAACATTACAACCCTAATTTGAACTGCCCAATTATTCTTTGATCAAATATTAAACTCTTGAAACCCCAAAACCATTACAAACCAAAGTCACTGTTCATCGGACAAGCTCAGCAGCCAAACCCTTCTTTTCTATTACCAAAACCTTATCCAACCATTTGCTAATCAACTTTAACCCTTCCCTTAAAAGCCTTTTTGGCCTTCAATCTAGCAACGAAAACCATAAAATGACCACTATATAAAATTTCAGCAATGTAATTCTGAATTCCAGCAACCAAATTCCTTTAGAAAGAAAATCAGTTCCAGCACTTTGCCATACCCAAATCCTGCAATCATTTTGCCCCTTAAATCAGTGCTTGTACAAGTTTGTTCTCCACCCTCGTCCTATATCACCACTAATCAGATCATAGCTGTATTCTTTTGAAATTTTAGTTCAGGACTCATTTTATCAAACTCAATATCTTTGTTTCTTTGATTAATTAAGCTGCATGAATATAAGAGGACAAATATTTGGACCACCAGACCTTCCACCATGGAACTTATACTTTTTGATAAGTAAAGATTGTATAAAGAACCGTTCAAAAGGGGAATGCATCCCTCAGAAAATACACAAGGCCTAATAGGGCCTCTAAACTCGCAGAGAGTCAAAATAATCAACTACCTACTCCATGGATTTACAATATCTCCCCATAACCCAACAAAAAAGAGTGCTAATGATAGAGAACTTCAACTCCCCCATAGGAGTCTCCTTTCCTTCGAAGGACGTCCTATTTCTGATGCAACTTATACTTAAAGCTCCATATAGTGATCTGGCTACTGATTGCTTGAAATGTTGAAGAAGAATAAACAACTAGGATGGTAAAACTACAGACTCAAATATCATTAAAATGGTATGTTCTTAAAACCTCCGATCTGCCTCTTCAAGAGACCGGTCCATTACCTAATACAGACAAACTCCAACTCTACCAGATTTGTATGCTTATTATTCCTAAAATTCTATCTTCAACAAGCCGAACTGCCCCCTCATCAACAAGCTCATCTAAGCTGCTATAAACCGCTCATTGCATTTGCAACCATGGAAAACAATATAGATGACAACTTAAGAAGCAACAGTAAAAATATTGCCACCCCAATGTATCTGACTTAGTTTCTGATGAAATAGCATTGCGAAAATGACAACAGATAAATGACTGAGAATATACCAAAAGGTGTTAAGGAGAAAAGCTTGAAACATAAAAAGACATTAAAAATAACAATTTGAATAATCTTCCTTTCTCTTAAATATGTTCAAAGCACCCATAACCTAAAGCACAATGAAGCACATAATCCACCTGAAGAAAAACCCAACAAGCCTAGATAGACAACTCAATACCTCTGCTTTTCTGAACAATTTTTTTCATCAGCTACATCCTTGCAAAGCTTTGTTTCTTTCCTGGGTTCCAAATATTTATCTACATTAAAACAGGGGGAAAAAAAGTTAATAATAGCAATAGCAAATAAATTAGAAATAAATAAAAAATACGAACATAATTTCACAGGAGAATCATAGTTCAGAACCTATTTCTTGATGGTTTGAAGCCTGTTCATGCTTGATTGCTTCGATGGAAAAGCCACCCTTGTCATTCTTTGTAGTAGTATTAGAATCTGAGCGAACCACTATATAAAAAAATTAAGATGAGAGATATTATAGTGGTAACATGAATTTCCAAAATGTCTGCTGCTTATTTTTGAGTGAAGGTGATAAAAGAACAAAAACATCATAAACTTGTAGGACAAAACTAAAGTGAGACGTATTTCACCTTGAGTTCCTTTTGATCGACGCTGCTCGAGAGAAGCACGATGCATGGCATGTTTAACTCCAATTTTCCGACCACCAACAGGTGAACCATTTTTCAGCTCAATAGCACGGTTTGCATCTTCACTAACAGCACTACAATTGAATGCAAAATCACAATGGATGTAAAAGTGATGAGCCTAATTATATGGCAAATAGTGAGGAAAAAAACAATATATCAACAAGGCAACAACCGTGAAACAAGAACGGATGCTCATTGCAAAATACAGGTATGCGCAAACAGATGCTACATAATTTGTTCAATTAATGTTATATAAGATAATACAGAAAATGCTCTCTAATGCATGCGCCGCCAATATAACTAAGAGAAACCAACAAATTTGAAGGTGAAGTGAAAACCAGGGTATAGCTAAAGAATCAGACATCAAGAAAGAACAAAGAGAATAATCTACTCTAACCTAACATGTTATTTTTCCAATGCCCATAAGACAACATAGAGTTCTGTGTCCTGATAGGTGCGTCTCACCCTTGGAAGTGGAAGGAGCTAAGCTGACAGCTGGAGGCACATTCATTGCTATATAACTCAGAAGTGTCGAAAGAAGCAAATTTTGTATCCTAACTACCAGACCCATGGTTAATTGGTTATATCTTATTTCTAAGTGAAAATGCAAGACCAAAAAGAAAAGGAAGAATCCTACTTGCCTAATCCAATGTTTAGTGATGTGGTCTGTCGCATGTTGCTTTTTAATAAATGTAGTTTTTGCTCATTCAAATATATTTATTTTATCTATTATAATGAAATTTCGGCAAAGGAGGCATAACTAGTATACATGCGAAGTATGCAGGGCCACAAACATAAGCTCCTTCTATACAGCTCAAATGTCTTACAAAATCTAAAAAATAGTAACAAAAGGTATTCAACACCATAATCTTAACCCTACAAACCGGCTAGTCCACATCCTCAAATGCAGGCCTAGTCTGTTCCCTCCTCACACGCCATATGAGTCAAAGAAGCGCAACCTACCAAGCCAAGGGAAGTCTTTTAGAGACACATCCTTCAGCCCTATAGTCGAGCATGACCATCCGATAGAAGTGCCCCTCTATCTAATGTAATACTGAAGAGAACTGGAAGCAGGACTTCCAAAGGAGCATTTCATGCTAGAACCTCAACGTACTGGCAACACCCCTTACAAAGCCCACATATTTGGAGATTCCTTAAAACCTAAATGAATCGCCTTCCAGGGCCCAACCTCATAAGAGCATGTAACCCTCCTCAATGTCCACCCTCTATTCCTATCCTCGGATTTCCTCTTCACCACCTTCCCTCACATGCTAGCCATTTCCACTGCACATCTTCATAATGATCTGCCTAATAATGCCTACATGAATTTTCTGAAATTTCTCGCTCCAAGATTCCATAAAGTACAAAAAATAATAAGTAAAAGATCCCAAGCCACAAGGTGTGATATTTGAATTCCTTGCTCCACGAGAGAAATAGGAGACATTTTGAGGGCAAGGAGACTCCTATTTGGGCTAACGGGCGGAATTATAAATCTTTGGGGGATCTTTTGGATTTGGTGGATAGTTTAAAGCTTTAGTTATCGTCTTTGGCGTTTTTGTGTATTCCTTTGGGAGCGCTCCCCTCTTGAGCGCCTTTCTATGAAATTTTTTACTTATCAAAAAAAAAAACAGTTTATTTCTATATTGTTTTCTTATTTATTTTATGTTATATGGACTTAATTATTTTTTTTCTCTATAACCACAGTGCTAATAATTATTATAAGTTTACTACATCAATCTTCATACTAAACATATAAAGTTTGAAACTTTGAGTATGTATAATCTACTTCAATCTTCATACTAAACTTACAAAGTTTTGAAACTTTGAGTATGTATAATCTGTTCTCTTAACTCTTTTATTAACTAAATAGTAGACAATTGAGGGGAATGCTACTAGGGAAGCAGTAAAACCAAAACTAACATAGGCTAAGATATTACGGAAACATATATGAAAGCAGGTGGCTTGATTGAGATTATGACATTAGATAGAGGGGAATTGTCAAACAAGATTTATGTAGCCAACTCAAACAGTTGGGAAAAAGTTTTGTCGAGTTATGCAGAATGCATTTCTGTAAGTAAAATAAGCAAACAAGAAGACTTTTAACTCCATCCGCCATCAATAAGAGGCGAGGAGGCCAGAGGGAAACAGTAGTTTAATATTAGGCTTCAAAATTTTAACTTATGCATATACATATCCATGTAACATATAGTATGCTGGCAAATTTTCTCAAGTTTGCAGTATGATTTGAAATTCAAAGGACAGCGAATATATAAGTATAGCGTAGGATTTACTGTATCAACAGTGAGCATATATTAAATAATTGATTTATTAAGGTCAGAAACACTTAATTTGAAAGTGGGCAAGCCACACAGCAAACCTACAATGGGCAAAACGAAAAATTGAGAACCGAAAGAAACTTACAAATGAACAAAACCAAAGCCACGGTGTTCAGTTGACCCTGCAAACAAGAATAGACTTTTAAACATGATAAAACAATATTTAGTATAAATGATAAGAACTGAAGTCAAGACCAACAACACAATAACTTATCAAAAAAAAAACACACAATAATAAGGCTCTGCTTGGTGGCTGAGAAAATTTAGGAAAACAAAAGAAATAAATTCAAGATATTGGCTCAGTTCAGTTAAATTCTCAGTTCTACGAAACAAGAAGAAGAAAAAACTGGAATTTCTTTCATTTTATTTCCTCTACATCTATTCTCAGAATCACCACAGCTAACATACAAGTTTGGCATAAAGAGGTCAAAAAAAAAATCTAGAAAACACATACAATGGAATCAAAGTAGCTTTTACTGAAACAAAAAAATTGACACTGTTTGGTTCAATGACTCACCTTTCTGAGTAACCATAAAGCATCGCCTAATCGGGCCTACATCACTGAATGTTTCTTCGAGCTGAGATATCAAAGCAGCAGTCAATAATATTACATATTTTTTAGACATTATATAACATAAACATATATATACGCATATAGAGAGAGAAAAAGTAGTGTACCTGAGAGTTAGTGAAAGAGTAGGGCAAGTTGGCGACGAAGACAGTGGAAGGACAGTGATCGCTTTTGCCACCCTCTTCCGTCGTCGTTTTCTTCTTCCCCATGTGAGCAGCCGCCGGCGGTGGAGGAGGAGGAGGAGGAGGAGGATTTGGGGCTTTAGCGTACGTCGCGGGGCTTTAAAGCTGAAAGAGAAATTAGGTCTGTCAAAAATTATATACGGATCCGCCACCCGCCCAAACTCGTCGGGTAATTAGTTGATTTGCGACCCGGCTCCTCTACGTGCAAAACTAGTCGTTTTGCAGTGGGCATCTAAAAAAAAATAAGAGTAATTTACACTGACGCGCCCTAAGTTTGGGTCTAATACAGCTCGCTACAACTTGAGCACTGTTTAAACAATGACACCCCCAAAGTTTGCAAAATTGACCCCAACTACCTTTGATATAAGGTAAAAGTTTTTTATTACCCTTTAACATATGGAATAGCCATTCCATTCCCAAGGAATATTTTTTAAAAAAATTAACTTTCCAAAAGACCCTTATATTCCAAGTCCAAAAATCACCAGCACCATTGCGACCAATACCACTATCTTTCCCCCACCACCACCACCTCCACTACTTTCCATTACCACCACCGTTACCTCCACCACCACAACCTTCCAGCACCGCCACTGCCACCGCCACTGCCACCGCCACCGCCTTCTACCACCACCACCTCCACTACCTTCCACCGCTACCACCACCACCACCGTCACCTCCACCACCTCCACTACCTTCCACCGCTACCACCACCACCACCGTCGCCTCCACCGCCACTACCCTCCTCCACCGCCACCTTCCACCACAGTCATCTTCTACCACCACTGCCGCCACCAACTTTCACCACCACCACTTCCTTCAGCCATTGCCTTCCACCACCACCGCCGCCTTCCACCACCGCTACAACCGACTTTCACCACCGCCACCTCCTTCCAACACCACCACCTTGCACCGCCACTGTCGCCACTAACTTTCACCACCGTCACTGCATTCTACCACCGCCACATGCACTGCCTTCCACCACCACCACTGTCACCTCCACTGCCTTCCACCACCGGCACCTTCCACCTTTGTCGCCTTCCAATACCACCACCTACACCACTACCACTTTCTAACTCCACCACCATCATCACCGCCATCCACCACTACCACCATTTATTTATTAATAAGAGGGGTATTTTGGAGAATTTAATTTAAAATTCATTCCATTTAAAATTTTAAATTAGTCCAATCAAACACTAGAATGGTTATTATCATTCAATTCCAACACATTTCGTATTTGCATTCCATACCATTTGCATTCTCATTCCATTCCCACTTGCATTCCATTACATTCTTGCACACCAAATGCAACATAAACTAACATCTTCATCACTACACATAATACATATGTGTGTGTGTACTATCTCCTTCTCTTATATGCATACATGTATATAGAGAGAAAATGGGGGAATAGAAGTGGAAGAAGAAGAGGGTGGTTGCCACCTCTGTGATGCTCCCGGATTTCCGAATGCGAGTAGGCCAGGCCCACACCCGAACACCCGGGATATCAAAAACAAATCGGTAATAAATGAATACAGAATACAAATTGATAAATAAGAATAGATAAAATGCTGAATTGAAAACTAAATGATAATCTAATAATTAAATCCTTGGAATAAATTTCCATTAATAAATAATTTTCTCTGATACAACTAATTCTCCAAATAATACAACTCGGGAATCCAAACTATGTGGACCCCTAGAAAATCCAAACTGAACAAGTGACAGCAATAACTGTCTACAACTGAATAAAGAAATATAAAAGAATTTCCTATGTAGAAACGGAAGAATGAAGTAGACTGGTCTCTGCTCTGCACGAACCATCTTTACATCTGATGAACACCTGAAAAATAATTGTGGGTCAGGTTTACGAACAAGTTTCACTCTACTACAGTCCAAGCAGATATCCGATATACGTATACATCTTAGTCAATCCAACGATAACTATATAATCCGTATATATATATATACAGACACTAAAAGGGTCCTGCCGGGTTATAGGGCAACCTCAACTTGAATAGTAGATAACATGCAAAATATACATATAGTGGGCATGAGTGCCTAGACTTACCAGGGTACATAACGATCCACTATATCCAGGTAGTCATCCCATGCAATATACGCACCCTAACCACTGATCTTGAGACTCAAGCTCATATCAGGGTATATAACTATATATATATATATATATATATATATATATATATATATATATATATATATATATATAATCCGTCATATCCAAAACATAAAATAAATATCCGGTATGTCATCCAACTAATTCAGTTGACCTGACATGAAACTATGTAGGATTTAACGTTTTAGTTAATCCATATCGTTATACATGAATAGATAGGACTTAACGTTTTTAGTTAATCAGTCCCTAATATGCCACCATTTCATAACGGTGCATATAATGCGTACAATCCATAAATGATGCAACAGTTATAATATCACACCAAATAAATCCAGAAATAAATATAATAGAAACCAGACAAATTTATGATCACATTATGCAGGCAATATATAATTAAAATCACATAACCTCCATTTAACTTGCTAAAATAGTTTTAAGTAATTAAATCCTCCATCATCAATATGCAAATTTAATTTAAAATTTCATACCGATTAATCTTTAGCATAATAAAATCAGACATAATCAATGATTATATTATACTGCTTCTATATGATAAAAATCATCCAACACCCATTTTAATTGCTTGAATAATTTTCAGCAATTAAAATATCCATTAACAACATGCAAATTTAATTAAAATTTCATATCGTTCAATTCATTAGCAAATTAATATAGATTATGCATTGTGGGTATTTATCATGTACATTGTAGTCATTTAAAACCCCCATTACAGTCTAAGCAACCTTAGAAAATCCCAAAATCCAAAATAGAACAAAAAATACATTTTCTGCAGTGTTCCCAGCACGAGAGCATGCTCCCAAATCAATGGAGCAAGCTTTGTCCATGTGGGAGCCGGCTCCCTTCAAGTGGGAGCTGGCTCTCAACCTGAGGGAGCCGGCTCCCTTCACCATGGAGCCGGTTCTCTCCCTGAGAGTCATCAAAAAAACATTAGGGAGTTGGCTCCATGCCCTTGGAAGACAGCTCTCAACTTGTTCTGCTTCTTCTTCTTCGTCTTCGGCGTCCTCTGGTCATTCCAATCATCATCGTTAAGGGTCCCAAACCTCTGTTCTAAGTTTCAGATGATCTCTATGAATTATATAAGGTTCTTGTGCATCTTTTACACAAATTAAAATAAGTTATCATTCAAGAAATTTCAAGATCAAACAACTATGAATATAAACACATAAACTCTATTTTAATTTAATTTAAGCATGCATACAAGATCCTTTTAATATCTGATTAACCCTGGAATTAACCTAAGCATGTATAGAACACGAAATCTAAGGGAAGGAGTTAGAAGAAGAACTTGCCGTTAAGGATTTCGGATTAAAGCCTTAAACTACCTTCTCCTTCCTTGATTCCGGCGACCTTGGTTGCCGTTGGACTCTCTGCTGCTCTGTCCCTATCCCTGAGCAAGCCTCTCTTTCTTCTTCCTTGGTCCGGCCTTAACCTTTGGCTACGCCTCCATTTCTCTCTCTCAGTTTTCCTCTCATCTATACTCTTTGCCTCCACCAACGTGAATAGGGTTCGAAACCTTATGCCAGACTAAACTTATATATATATATATATATACACACACTATATACTTCATACTTCTAATCCAATTCTAATAATAAGGAAAAAAAATAGAAAAATACACACACACGCGTGCACACGCGCGCACACATACACACACATACTAAGTTTGAGTACGTGATATACAATTTATAATTATATAAATATATTAACCATCTTAATATTATTATTATTACCATAAATAATAAATAATTAATAATTAATAATAATAATAATATTACTCTTTCATTATATACATGTATACTTAAATATATAAATATGTAGATACCACTATCTATATATGGGTAGATATTCGTACCCATAACAACTCTTATCTAAGTAGTACATGTGACCCAATTGGTTGGTCATTACTACTATCCAAATCTATCCTTTAAAATTAAAAATACAAATTAAAATAAAACAAGTAATTTAAATTATTTACAATAAGATCACACACGTTCACATAAATAATACACACAGTAAATCAAACAAATAAATCATCTAAGCACATAAACACATAGCCACTGATGAGCACTGAAAAGTGCGTATTTAAACCCCCTTAAGCTTAAGCATTCTAGTACCTTTATCTATCTTACTTTACCGTTTTAGATTGATTTCGTATTATTTCCATTTTCAGGCACTTATCCCGAAAATAAGCTAACTCAGCCAAATAAGAGCAGAAAGCAATTCTGGGATAAATCAAAGAAAGAAGCCAAGTGGAAGTAAAATGAAGAAAAAGGTTGAAATCAACATCTTCAATCGATCTCAGATCAAAGTTCGATCAATCCAACATGATCGATCTCAGCACTTCAAGATGGATCAGAGCCATGATGACATTTTCGAGATCTCAAAAGTTCGATCGATCCAACATCATTCTTCGATCGAACTGCCTTGTCCATATCCAAATGATTGATCTTATCTAGTTGTACCACCTTACCAACCACTTTTGTCCTTTTCCCAAAAATATCTTCAAAATATCTCAGATTTGTCTTTCTCCAAAAAGCGCCACCATTGAGGATCGATCCAACTTTAGTTCGATAGATCTCAGCCATGTTCAATCGATCCAAGTCCAAAGTTCGATCGATCGAACTTTCTCCAGTGTGAAAAAGTTAAATCTCCAGCTCACCAAAAGTTATCCTTATCCAATCATTGGGGAATATTTTGTGCACGACCCCAACTTATTTTGGGTGTCATTTGACCTACCTATATAAGGATAAGGATTACTTTTTAGATAATAACACCTCATATCATATCATATCATCTCATACCTTGTAAGAACTCTTGGAGAGCAAGCTTAGAAGAGGAGGAGGCTAGAGACACCATTGGAGACTCTTCATCAACCAAGGAGCAAATCTCTACCATGGAGTTAGCCCTTGAGGGTTGAAGAAGCACTACCATGAGTGGCTAGACATCCTCT